TCTTTTTTTTTTTGAGTTGGAGTCTCACTCTGTTGCCCAAGCTGGAGTGCACTGGCACACTCACAGCCACCCCAGCGTCGACCTGCTGGGCTCCAGCGATCCTTCTGCCTCAGCCTTCTGAGTAGCCAGAACTATAGGCGTGTGCTACCATGCCCAGCTCATTTTTTAAACTTATTGTAGAGACGAGGTCTCGCCAAGTTGCCCGGGCTGATCTCGAACCTGCAGGTTCAGGTAATCCACTCGCTTCAGGCTCCCAAAGTGCTGGGATTACAGACTGAGCCACCAAGTGCGGCCTAGACCTAATTCTTAATAGGACTATTGGCAAGAGCTGGTCCCAGCTAAAGTGAGTGTCATGGCATAGTTTACTTAGTTGCAGTTTCAATGTCCGGTTTATTCTACTTATCCCAAACTCTGGGGGCTGGTAGACTGTGTGCAGTTTCCAGGTAATTCTTAGCCATTGGCCAATAACTGTATTATTTCTGCTATAAACGCAGGCCCATTGTCGGATCCTGTGGTGATCAGGATTCAAAATCAGGGGATAATTTCTTTCAAGAAAAGTCGGGCCACTTCACATGCCTTTTCTGTATGAGTTGGGAGGGCTTCTACCATCCCGAGAAGTTGCATATAAAAACAAGGAGATATTTGTAGCCCTGAACTCGGGGGAGCTCAGTGAAGTCCACGATTATGTCTTCAGATGGCGTTCCTCTGACGTGTAGTATTCTAGGGGACACTTTGGGTCCCTGCCGCAGGTTGTTTTGAGCACAGGTTTGGCATTGCTCACAAACTGTTCAGGCTCTACTAGAGAGTCAGGGAACGTTAAAGTATTGGTTTAGAGTGGTTTCAAGGGTTGTCCATCCACTGTGGGTTCCATGGTGGAATTGCCTGACAAAAGCTGGAGCTAGTGACTCAGAAATTGCCATTCAGTCATTCTGAAATTTCCACCATCTGTTCTGAAGATAGCTTCCATTTTCTGTTTTAAACTAAGCTTAAAGCCTAGGTTTGGAAACCAACTTTCATGTTGTGAATAGCTAGGGCTCCAATTTGTCAGTGGACTAGGGAGAAGTGCAGCAGCCAGGGCAGTTTGCTCACTGATTTCTTTGGATGCCACAAGTTTTGCTTCTTGGTCTGCTTTGCGATTTCCTCGGGCGATTATTGCATTTTCCTTTTGGTGTCCCTGACAATGCATGACTGCTACCCTTTTAGGGGACCATAGAGCATCCAGGAGCTCAAGAATTTCTTTGCCATACTTTATGTCCTTTTCCCCTGAGTTTATTAGGCCCCTTTCTTTATATAAGGCTCCATGTACATGGAAAGTGGTGAAAGCATATCTGGAGTCAGTGTAAATGTTGACATGTACCCCTGTTACCAGTTGAAGTGTTCAGGTTAAGGCAATGAGCTCTACATTTTGTGTTGAAGTCCCTTTTAGTAGACGTTTAACTTCAACAGTGGAGACCAGGGCTACTACTGAGTAATGGGCAAACCATTCCCCTTCTTTTATGAAACTGCTGCCATCAGTAAAGTATTCAACATCAGGATCTTTGAGAGACTGATCTTTCAGATCTGGATGGCTGGAAAACACCTCATCCATAACCTCAGTACGATCATGATTTGGCTGTCTGGGTTCAACCGGCAATAGAGTTGCAGGATTTAAAGTTTTGACTATTTCCAGGCGAATGCGTGAGTTTCACATAGCATTCCTTGATATTTAACCATCCTGGCTTTTGTTAGTCAATACTGACCTTTGTATTCCATTAGGGTTAATACCACGTGTGGCACTCGACCATCGGGTCTTGTCCCATAGTTAGTTTGTTGGCTTCTCCTACCAGAAGGGTGATAGCCTCAAGTGCTTGCAAACAAGGTAGCCTTGAGAGACTGAGTCCAGTTGCTTTGACAAGTATGCTATGGGTCTGTGCCATGACCCTAACATCTGAGATAGGACCCCCACTGTTATGCCAGTGCACTCATGCACTATGAAAAGAAGGGCTTGGTTACCTCTGGAACCCTAAGCTGGGTGCACTGATGAAAGCTTGCTTAATTTCTACAAAGGCCCTTTGTTGGGCTTCTTTCCAAAGTAGGGACTCCCATTCTCCCCCCTTTGTGGCTTCATAAAGGGGTTTTTGCTAAAATAGAGAGGTTAGGTACCCAGATTCTACAGAATCCTGTGGCTTTGAGGAATTCCCGGACTTGATGTCGAGAGGATGGGACCGGGATTGAGCCGATGGTTTGTTTTCTTTCTGGGTCAAGCTGGCATTGCCCTTGAGATAGGTAGAAGCCAAGATACCTCACCTTCTCTTGGCAGATTTGGGGCTTTTTCTTTGATACTTTGTATTCAGTCTTCCATAAAAGGATGAGGAGCTGGTGCATCCCCTTCATGCAGTCCTCCTGTTTCGTCCTACCAACAACAAATCATCCACATATTGGAGCAGGGTACAGTTACATTGGTTTGCTGGGAAGAGTTTTAAATCTGATGCTAAGGCGGTGCCAAAGATATGGTTGGAGAATAATTGAATCCTTGAGGCAACTTGGTCCAGGTTAATTGTCCTTTGTCACAGTTTTCAGAATTGTCTCATTGGAAGGTGAAGATTGATAGATTTTGGGAGCCAGGTGAATACAAAAGAAGGCATCTTTGAGGTTCAGGCAAGTGAAGAAGGCAGCCTCTTGGCGACAAGTCTCAACAAGGTATAGGGGTTCGGGACAACTGTGTGCAATGTGACCATGGCTTGATTTATTGCTCACAGGTCCTGAACCAGCTGGTATTCATCTGTACCCAGTTTCTGGACTGGCAGGAGAGGCATGCTCCAAGACAAGTGGCAGGGTCAAAGGATTCTGTACTGAAGAAGTTTTTCCAGGTGTTTTTGGATCCCAATCTGTGCCTTGCATGGGATGAAGTATTGTCTTTGATGTACTGGCTCAACTCCTGGTTTCAGTTGTATGAGTATTGGGGGTATGTTGGGGGCCAACACAGGTGGATTATCTTTGACCCAAACTCCAGGTATTTGGAAGGGTGGTTCCGGTCCATGTTGTGACTCTCTTATTAGACTGCAGAGATGTCATTCTTCTTCCTGGGGAATGGTAAGTGCCATTATTTTGGTTTTTGGATTTCTTAATTTTAGAGTCACATGGTTAGGAGAGTCAAAAAGTCAAAAACGATTTGGATCCACAGCCTTCCTAATAAATCTCATTCCATTAGAGCTATTGGACAGTTGTGGAGGTACAGGAGCTCATGGATAACTTCATGGTCCCCTATCATGTAGCGTAATGGTAACATAAAGGGACGACAAGCTCGACTGTCTGTAGTCCCTATGATGGTAACTTGCCTTTGGGAGAAGGGGCCCACGGCCTGGGTTACCCCAGAGTGTTAAGCTCCAGTGTCTACCATAAAGTCAATGGGTTGGCCCTCTACAATCATCTGGACCATAGGTTCCTGGGGGCCCTATAGAATGGAGCCTGGTCTGTCCTAGTCTTCCTTATATGTTTCCATGGTGGTCAGACCCATAAAGTTGTCTGCAGGAGGTTGGTGTTGTCCCTGGACCATCTGGCTTCTTCCTCCTGGTGATGGTCCAACTGGCTGGGGCATTTATTCTTCCGGCAGTTTTCATCTGCTGTGCGCTGAGGGCAGTCACCTTTCCAATGGCCCCCTTAGTAGCAGTAGGCCCATTGATTACTTCTCAGTTTCTTGTTAGAGTAGAGTGACCTGTTAACGTGCTGGTATGGTCCCAGCATCATCTCTGGGTAGCTGTCAGGTTGGCCTCTTCCCCGACCCTGGCCTCGGCCTCAGCCTTATCCACATTGGGCAGGTACCTGGTATCCTTACAAGGCTGCAGTGAGTAAAGTGGCCTTTTTCTTCAGTCTCCAGTCTGCTTCTTGTTGGGCTTCCAAGTCTTGGTTGATGAACACTCTTGCTGCAATCTCTAGCAGCTGACTGGCATTCATTCCAGTGAAGTCCTCTAACTTTTGTAGTTTGTGTCAGATGCCTCCTTTGGCTTGTCCAACAAAGGCTGCATTCACTATTCATTGATTTTTAGCTGCCTCTGGGTCAAAGGGAGTGTACAGTCTGAAGGCCTTGCATAGTCTTAGAATCGACTCAGGCTTTCATTTTTTGGTTTGGGGTTATTTTTTTTTAGTTGAAGATTCACTACCCTCCCAGGGTCCTTGGAGTACTTCTGAGATTTTGCTCATGTTCATGGCCTTTTTTTCTAAACTCCTGGACTCAGGTAATCCTCTCACCTCAGCTGCCCAAAGTGCTGGGATTACAGGCATGAGCCACCGCACCTGGCTTGACTAATAGTTTTAAATGAGCAATAGCTTATATATACTATTAGAGATAAATCACCTCTTGCCTCATGAATGCAAAATAAATTCTCTAGACTCAACCTCCCTGTAGAGACCATCAGCTCATTGTTAGGGCTTGAAGCTCCATAAGCACAATTCCCTATGAGAAATGGCTGAAATAAACATCTCCTTAGAAAGCTTCAAATATGTTGTCAAGGAACACAATTTTTGACCTGGTAACAAAATCATTCTGACAACCTAATGTATGGCCAAGATTCTAAGATGATAATTAAAGACGTTCTTTTGGATCTGTCCTTTTTTTTTTTTTTAGTTGGAGTCTCACTCTGTTGCCCAGACTGGAGTGCAGTGCCTTCCGGGTAGGTGGAACCACAGGCACGTGCTACCACGCCCGGCTAGTTTTTGATTTATTGTAGAGATGAGGTCTCGCCAAGTTGCCCAGGCAGGTCTCAAACCCGCGGACTCAGGCAATCCACCTCAGCCTCCCAAAGGTGTGGGATTACAGACTGAGCCACTGAGCCTGGCTTGGATCTGTCCTTTAATTAAAATTTCAGAGGAAAACTATGAAGGGGCTTCCAGCTTAGCAGAGACATTGATCAAAGCTTGGTTTTAAAAAAGGGGAGGGGCTGGTTTGCAGACCATGGGTAATGTTCTTCAACACATTCAACAGGCCAAAGGGGTGAGTTTTTCACTGATGGAGCTCTCACAACTCACTGATTTTGTGCCAGTTTTCCATACCCTCCTCTCCCAGCATCATAGTCCTGCTGACACTCATCTGGTACCTGGCCACCAGATCGTCCACGTCCATACTGCCAGCCCTCCTTAAATTCTGCATCCCAGTCTGTGGGAATGATCTGGTCCTCCAGATAAGTTCCAGGTATGTACCACATGGCATCTTCTGCATCTGCTCTTGAATAGTATTCCACAAAACAGAATCCACATACTGTTTTCTTCACTTTATCCAGACCCATAATGACTTTCTTTATGTTACCACTCTTGCTGAAGAGTTCATAGTTGTGTAAAAGGAAAGATTGCTGACATACAATGTACAGCTTTTCTTCATTGTCACCCCAGAAGTGCTCAGCTCCATGTAGGAGTCACTGTGCAGCACCTTTAGGAGACCACCTGACATAGTGCACAGAACTGGACCAGGACACGGTGACTCCAGCAACACTAGGAAATGGTGGCGATGGCGGCAGCCAAATTTCTTTTTTTTTTTTTTTTTGAGTTCGAGTCTCACTGCATCACTCAGGCTGGAGTGCAGTGGCATGCTCATGGCCACGGCAGCCTCAACCTGCTGCGCTCGGGCAATCCTTCCACCTCAGCCTTCCATGTAGCCAGAGCTATAGGTGCATGCTACCATGCCCAGCTAAGTTTTTTGGTTTGGGATTTTTTTTTTAGTTGAAGATTCACTACCCTCCCAGGCTGTAGTGCAGTGGCACGCTCACGGCCACCCCAGTGTAAACCTGCTGGGCTCCAGCGATCCTTCCAACTCAGCCTTCCAAGTAGCCGGAACTACAGGCACACACTACCACGCACAGCTAATTTTTTATTTTTTATTGTAGAAATGAGGTCTCCCCAAGTTGCCAGGGCTGGTCTCGAACCTGGAGGCTTAGGCAATCCATTCGCCTCAGCCTCCCAAAGTGCTGGGATTACAGGCTGAGCCACCGAGCCTGGCCTAGTTTCTTTCTAAATATTAGGTTTCCTAAAGTTTAAGAGCGATATATTCACCTTGTTATGTTTTATATATGATATACATATAATAATATATATATTGGGATTACATATATTTCAAAATTATAAAGCATTCCTATATCCTGATATGTTTTAGTAAATGTTTTCAATAATAATAATTGTTACGTTGTTATATGTCATAGAATAACCAAATTTTCTTATCAGTTGCGCTTTTGACAATGACTTTCTTAAGACTTTTGTCATTCACAGTTATTGTTTTACTTCAATCTCTTTCAAAAGGCAATTTTAAACCAGGTGCAGTGACTCATGGCTGTAATCCCACCACTTTGGGAGGTGGAGGCGAAATGACTTTCTGAGACCAGGGATTCAAGATCAGCCTGGGTGAGGTAGTGAGACCTCATCTCTACAGTAAATCAAAAAATAAGCTGGGTGTGGTGACACACACCTGTAGTTCCAGCTACTTGGAAGGCTGAGGCAGAAGGATCACCAGCAGGTCGAGGCTTCGGTGGCTATGGCGTGCCACTATACTCCAGCCTGGGAGACAGAGTGTGAGACTCCAACTCAAAAAAACAAACAAATAAATAAATAAATAAAATAGATCTGATCCAGGATGTTTTTTGAGAGTGAACTCTAGGCCTGACTCCTTTTTGCCTTGAAATAATTGGCTATGAAATCAGGTCATACTAAGTCCTTACCCCATAAGCCAACATCACTGATATTGAAACTGTTAAAATCAAATACACAACTCCAGGAAAGAGCCCTCATAGCTCCATGGGACCTCACCAGGTAAATGGAATAGACAACACTGAGAATGAGTTTTTCCAAATGGGACCTCCTGCTGTCTATTGGCCCAAAAATGCGTTCTAAAGAATGATGTTTGGACAAAAGGGAGAACAGGTATGCGAGGCAGATGTCCTGTCCCATTTTCTATGCCAGTCCCCAAAATCAGCAGGAGGGGAGGATCATGACCCTGACAGTCAGAGAAGATGCCTTTATTTTTTATTATCTATAGGATTTGGACATGTGTAAAGACAAGGTAATGTCTTCCAGGATGTAAACCTGAAAGCTATGTCCTCCATCCCAGACCTGAGAGGCCTTTTGGGGACAGCAAGACTGTCTCTTGTCTCCTCTCCCCTTCTTTTCCATGGAGAAGTGAGAAATCCAGAAACAGCTAATAGTGGGGGAAAGAGGGCATAGGAAACCCTGGCCAGCACTCCAGCTCACCATTCATTTCTTGTGTGACTGTTAGGTCATGGTGGAACCTCCAAAATTGTCAGGTCAATCTCAGTAGGACCTACAGAAATGTTAGGTCACACTCCCAGCAGGGCCTCCAGAATGTTAGGTCAGGTCCACTGGGGGTGTGGGTGTCTGGTGTGCGATCTGATGACATGAGAAAGATGCAAAGAATTGCACAGAAGGAAGATTAGAAAATAAAGCTCATTTAGAAAGTAGGCTGGGTGCGATGGCTATAATCCCAGCATTTTGGGAGGCCAAGGTGAGAGGATTGTCTTAGCCCATGGGTTCGAGACCAGACTGGGTAACTTGGCAAGATCTCATCTCTACAATGAATCAAGAAAAATTAGCTGGATGTTGTGGCATTTGCCTGTAGTTCCAGCTAATTGGAAGGCCGAGGCAGAAGGATCGCCTGAGCCCAGCATATCAAGGCTGTGGTAGACTCTGGCCAGTCTAGGTCAGAGTGAGACTTCAACTCAAAAAAAAAAAAGAAAGTAAATGAGAGAGAGAAAGACAGTGGATTCACTCCCCGCAAGGTAGAGGAGGGAACCAAAGCCAGGAAACATGGCGACAGCCATAGCTCAAAGAACACATGGCCACACCATATGTTAGCAAGGCAATGGCGGCAGGATGCTTATGGTTGAGTCTTTTTAATCCTTCCCTTTGATGAAGGTATGTCATTAAGGTGATTGGGTGGTGGTCTGCTCCTGATCATAAGGAAGGGGGCAGATAAGCGCAGGTATTGACTTCAAGTGATGGACAGCAGTCAGACCGGTGGGTTAGTCACATGGGTTAGTCACCATGCTGCTATGGTGGTGGGCTAGATGGGAGGAGACAAGGGGAGGAATTTTCCCTGCAAAAGTCCTGTCAGACATTTCCAATTCACAAGCTCCATAGCAAAAGGGGGTCTTATTATCATTTGTTGTTTTTCTTTTTTTTTTGGAGTTGAAGTCTCACTGGAAGTACAGGCACACACCACCATGCCTGGCTAATTTTTTAAATTTTATTGTAGAGATGATATCTAACCAAGTTGCCCGAGCTGGTCTCGAACCTGTGAGCTCAGACAATCCTCTCACTTTGGCCTCCCAAAGTACTGGGATTACAGCATGAGCCAACGTGCCCGGCGTATTATCACTTCTATGTCTTCAGCCTGATAAAGGGCCAGAAAGTTTCTTAGAGTTATTATGCTAAACTATAAATTGAAAGGTTAAGGCTATCCTTGTCTTGGATCTGGTGGAGATTTGCTTAGGGCGTGGGATAGGCTGCCCCCTTGATCTGCAGTAAAATGCCTGAATACTTCCTAAAGCCAGCCTATTGGAAATTTATCTATATCTAACCTGTGCTAGATTCAAAGTGTGTCAGTCTAAGCAAATATTGCTATGCTGAGGCAAAATGTGAACTAAGTGTATTCTAAGTTTCTCGGGGTCCCTCCTTTCAGTGGCATGGGCAGAGTAGCTTAGCTTCTCTGTGCCTGGGACCTCCTCTGACTGTCAGAGTCATGATCTCCCCTCTTGATGCTATTGGGGCCCTGGGGTAGTGAATGGGGCCCTGGGTGGGCACAAACAACTGTCCCTTTTGAGACTAGAGATGAAATCCTGTGCCCTGATCCCAACCTTCCCTTGGCACCATGTCTAGACTCCTACCCAGAGACTGAGCGCCACCTACGTTCACCAGGGGTGGCAGGAGGTTGGGAGGGGAGAGTGTTACAGCTCAATACAGGTTTTTATGCCCACTGCCCAGAAGAACCAACACTGATGCAGTCATTATAGTCAGGAAAGAGTTTATCACAAGTAGCTAAGTGAGGATGTCTGGAGAAATCTCTCAAATCTGCTTCCCCAAAGACCCAGAGGATGAAGTTTTTAAAGGGAAGATGGTGGGAAAAGGGAAGAGACTGTTGATTGACTGATGATGTCATGCGGGGGTGGTGTTGAGATCTTCTTCCTGGGGTCCTGTGACCAGTAGAGGACCTCCTGGTGCTCTGGGCCTGGGTGGGAGTTCTTGCCAGAGTACCAAGTCTGAAAAACATCTCAGATACCATTCTTAGGTTTTACAATAGATGCTGTCTATAAAACAAATCCCCTGACCACCAGGTACTACCCACCAGCCCTGAGCCATTAGGTGGGGTCCCTGAAAACTGAAGCCGCTTTTTGTATTTCAAATGATTTCCTGTTTCCTCAAGAATCATAAATTGATTGGCCTTGTGGGCAGCTTCCCCTGTCCCCCAGGGGTTTGACACCATAGTAATTGCAAGCAAACCTAGAAGCAATCTTTCCATTAATTTCTAATCATAGCTGCAGATTTTACTCCATAAACTGATATTGATTCTATATAAGCACCGTCAGGAGGACTCCAGGAGGACTGCCAAGGTCTCAGGGAAAATGAGAAAGACAGTGAGAGCCAGAGGAAGCTCAACCACCCCAGGGCCCTCCCACTCCACTGCCCAAGCTGAGAGAGGGTGGAGCCACTGCTCACAGACCCTGGAAGGTGACGTTCTGGAGGGCTGTCCTAAAAAGGGCCCTGCAAGCCGGAAATAAACTCCTGACACCTCAGACACAGAGCAGGGCTGGGACACGGCTGCCCTGTAGGCCACAGCAGGCCACTGCTGGAATCCACAGATCAGGTACCTCTGACCACTCTGGGCCCCTCCTCCGCCCCTTCTTGCCTGGTAGCCCCTGCGGGGACTCAGTCTTGGCCTCCCCCTACCCTGTTCCACCCTGGGCTTCCTCTCCTCTGGTTCTTCTGTAGCTCCCACTGCCACCCAGGACCTTTGACCTGCCCTGGGAGCCCCACAGCTGCTTCTGAGTTGGTCTCTCCCCACCTCCATCAGTCCTGCTTCTTCCTCCCTGACACCCTGACCCTGAGAGTCCTGGACCGGGCTGGCCCTCCCCACCTGCCTGGAGTGCTCCTCCTTGGGGATTTCCTGCCATTTCTGAGCTCTGGAAGCAAAGAGAATTGAACCAAGAGAGTGTGATAGGACCCTTTTATAGAGAGGCGGGATACTAAGGCTTCTTTGCTAGGAAGCAGCATTTATTCATGCCAGCACCAGTTCAGAGGATTCACATTCAAAGGCTGAGCCCTGAACGCAGTGGGGTGTTGCCTTATATACTTTTCACTAACTTTTCTTCACATTCTAGCCCCTTTGTCTCCCTGATATGGCAACATACATTCCGAATGGGTATTTCATGGCACAGGATTGTAAGAGGGTTAGGGACACACACTTAGACATTGATTGCGCCACATTACTTTCTCTTTGTTCTGGGAAGGCTCTGACCACAAGAGGGCTGAAGCAAGTAGCTCTCTGAGGGAGAAGAAGCATGTCCCTACATGTCCCCCATCTCAGGATCCCAATCCACTTTCTACAATGATCTCATTTAACAGAATGAATGAGAAAGAAAAAAAAATGGCCAGGATAAATGTACTTATTTTCACCTTTACTAACAAGACAGCCAGATCCACCACCGCTCCAAAGGTCACACGACATAGCAGCTGCCAGCGCAAGGGACACCGCCCACCAGCTCTGTGACTTAGGCAGGTTGCTCTCCTGTTTGTGCCTCGAGCATTTCATCTGAAAAATGGGCATGGCCCCGCAGGCTTAGGGCAGCATTCCCGGAGCTCAGATATAAGCAGCACTCACAACAAGAGCCTGCGCCTGTAAATTAAGTGTTCTTCCAGTTTTAAAATAAAAGGTGCTTGGGGGAATGAAGTCAGGAGTGAATTGAACTGAAAGAATAAAAGCTATTATTTGGGGGTGAAGTGTTTCTTTCTCTTTTGCTGCTTTCTAATGGGTTGGGGAACGGGTGGCAGGAATACTGGGAGAGTGGGGGAGTCCCATTGGAAGAACCAGAGCTGGATCTGAGTGGAGAAAAGTCACCCGTCCTGCTGCCCCTGCCAGCATCCTCTCCTCTTCCTCCCTGCAGTCTTCCTGCCTGAGAAAGCAGCAGAAATTCTCAGTGATGGGGAAGCCCAGTGCCCAGGGGTTTAGGTGGCAATGTTCAGTGGTTGTCAGCCCGGGGAACTCTAAGGAGGGTGTTCTTCATTTCTCGTTTCTCTTCTGCCCTCAGAATGCCCATGAAGCGGATGTATTCAAACATATACTTTGACCACTTTAATAATCAACGGCTTCTCTCAGGTCAGAACGCTCCATGGCTGTGCTTCAAGGTGGAAAGAGTGGAGAACTGCATGCTTGTCCCCTTGGAGACAGGGGTCTTTGGAAACCAGGTATCAGGCTGTTGTGGGAAAACAGAGAGACCGTGATGCCAAGGCTAATTTAGGAAGCAGCATTTACTGGCACGACTCAGTGAGCTAATGCTCCAAGGATGAGCAACCCAGAAAAAGAAGAGAAGGGTTTTATATGTTAGTTTAGGTAAGAGAGGGGGTTGAGTTTCATGGTTATACTTATTTTTGGAATTTGCAAGGTTGTAATCAGTAGAAACAGATTTTCAAAGAACAAGTTGTTTACAGGATATACATGACAAGCAGGGGTCATAAACCTATAACTTCACAAAGAGAAGGTGGGGGATAAAGTTGTGAATCGATTACTATTTTGAATTTACAGGAAAGTGGCTTGTGACTGGTTTTTCTCATGGTTCATGTCTAGCAGGTTTGTAGCTTACAGGTTGATTTTTTTTTTTTTTTGAGTTGGAGTCTCACTCTGTCGCCCAGACTGGAGTGCAGTGGTCGCTCCGGGCCACTGCAGCCTCGACTTGCTGGACTCTGGCAATCCTTCCGCCTCAGCCTTCCAAGTAGCTGGAACTACAGGCGTGTGCTACCACACCCGGCTGATTTTTTGATTTATTGTAGAGATGAGGTCTCGCCAAGTTGCCCAGGCGGATCTCGAACCTGCGGGCTCAGGCAATCCACTCACCTCAGCCTCCCAAAGCACAGGATTACAGGCTGAGCCACCGAGCCCGGCTACAGGTTGATTTTTAAAAATAATAACTTTAACTGTTTTCAGCCCCTCTCTGCCACATTCCCCCCTTTGATTCTCAACCCTTTATGGGTTAAAGAGCATCATTTTCAATTTGGTGCATTAACATTATGTGGGCCGCAGTTTTTCGTTTAACAACTGTTTCTACAAACTTAGAGATGGAGTTTATGATTATTGGGGCTATGTGAGGGAAGATAAGACAGGATTCCAACAATAGGACTACAGATTCAATAATGTACTTAAATTCTCCCAGACCCAAGAACATGTCTTCAAGCCAATTGCCAACTTTTATGCCATGCCATTTTTGTACTGGGACATGGGCAAGCTTTTTAATATTAGTGGCTATATTAGTTATAGCTTCACTATTATCATTTATTTACAAACAACAGTCAGAGCTATTAAATTTACCATATACTTCTTCTTTTTCTGCTAGCAAGTAGTCCAAAGCTAAGCAGTTCTGATAAAAGGAGGTACACATTTGGGCTTGTCATTGAACAGCAAGTTCAAAAGCCATGGCTGTTTGGTCAGTTAGAATTTCTAAGACAGCTTGTAATTGGATCATGCAATTTAGCATATATATAGGTGTGCGGTATTCCCAACTTTCACCTTGTGCCCCTGTAGTCAGGGCACAAGTATTTATAATTCTCTGGGGTGGCCATTCATCATCTTTCCAAATCTGGGTCCCTCACATGGTCACACGGCAGGTAAGTGCTAAGCCGGAAGACACGATCATAAGTAAAACCCAGACCTCAAGCCCCGATTGGGTATTTTCTTCCCACACTTCTTAAGTCCCTATGCCCCATGTCCTGGCTTGTCTGTCTTGGAATTTGATCCCCTAGGGAGTTTGGCGCATCACCAATGCCCTAGTGTAGAACCCACCTCCCTGACCCGATCAGTGCTTGTCTCCCCAAATCCAGGAACAGAGCTGAGGGCCCAGCAGCCCTCCAGGAAAGGGCATCTGGGGAAACTGGGGTGCGTGGAGTACCCATCACCTGGTCTGGCCCTTGTCATGCTGGGCTATGGGGCCTCCACCTACTGCCCTGATTCCTCCATGGTAAGGCTGTGTCATCCCACCGTGGTGAACTCCATATCTCTCCCTGCTGCCCCACACGGCCCACTAGCCGCTCTGCAGTGTTCCATTCATCCCTGCTGTCCCTCCTCATCAAGGCAGGAAACTTCTGGGTGTGCTTGGAGGGAGCAGAGTCATCTGTGGAGTGGGCAGTTCTGCTCTATGGCAGTTACAGCCCGTGCAAAATGTGGGGTCATGAGTGAAGTTCAATATTTCTAGCGCCTATTCTTTAAATAGTTCACAGAAATGGGTATAAGTAATCTTAATATCTAATTTAGCCCAATGTATCTAACATATTATTTCTTATTTTTTTGAGTTGGGGTCTCACTCTGTCACCCAGACTGGAGTGCAGTGGCCGCTCCTGGCCACCACAGCCTCGACCTGCTGGGCTCCGGCGATCCTTCCACCTCAGCCTTCCAAGTAGCCAGAGCTACAGGCATGCGCTACCACACCCGGCTAATTTTTTTTGATTTATTGTAGAGATGAGGTCTCACCAAGTTGCCCAGGCGAGTCTCGAACCCACGGGCTCAGGCAATCTACTCACCTCAGCCTCCCCAAGGCGCAGGATTACAGGCTGCCGCTGAGCACGGCTTAACATATTATTTCAATCTATAGGTAATATACAATTCCTCATGAGGCAGTGAAGCTTTTTTTTTCACACAGAGTCTTTAAAAAGGATTCTGGCTCAGTGGCTCAGCCTGTAATCCCAGCACTTTGGGAGGCTGAGGCAATTGGATTGCCTGAGCCTTCGGGTTCTAGACCTACCCGGGCAACTTGGGGAGAACTGGTCTCTACAATCAATAGAAAATTAGCCAGGCGTGGTAGCACACACCTGTAGGTTCGGCTACTTGAAAGGCTGAGACAGAAGAATTGCCGGAGCCCAGCAGGTCAACGCTGGGATGGCCATGAGTCTGCCGCTCAAAAATTAAAGAAAAGAATGTATAATTTATACATGCCCCCATCTCCAATCAGAACTACATTCCAAGTGCTTAGCACCTGCTGTGGCCGTGGCTCCATGGAAACCCCAGCTCCATAGCCCTCGCAAGCAGACAGCAGGCCAGGAACAGGGCTACTCCTGAGGGCCAGGACAGGCAGGGTCCAGGGTAGCTGTGGAATGGATGAGGGTGGAGAAGGGACAACAGGATCCATGCTTGAATCTACGAATGACGGAAGACTAAATTACAGAAGATGGAAGAAGGATGGAGTAAGGGAAACTCAAGAAATCCGGTGCCATGGGGCTCCTGACCTGGCCCCTCCTCTCACTCCCCCTACCCTGCACTCCTCCTCCCCTCCCAGTACTGCCCGGAGACATGCCACCACCCAGAAATGTGCTTCCTCTATTGGTTTGAGAAAACGCTATCCCATGAGGAACAGTACCAGATCACCTGGTACGTATCCTGGAGCCCTTGTGTCAACTGTGCAGAGGAGGTGGCTGAGTTTCTGTCGGTCCATCCCAAAGTCAACCTGACCATCTATGCTGCCCGCCTCTACTGTTACCAGAAACTAAACCACAGGCAGGGGCTTCGAAGGCTGTGTAAGGAAGGGGCCTGTGTGAAGATCATGAACTATGAAGGTGAGAAGTGGGTGCTGGGGCGGAAGGGAGAGCAGGAGGGATGGGCAAGTCCTCTGGGGCACTTGAAGGTGGGTTTCCAGGGGAGCCTTTGGGGCCTGAGCCAGCACGGACTGCCCCTGGCAGGCCGGAGACCAGGCCTGGGAGGGGAGAGCAAGGACGGGGGGTCGGGGGAAAGGCCTGCCAGACACTAATGGCTTTCCCCCTTTTTGTCTCAGAATTTGACCACTGTTGGGAAAACTTTGTGTACAATAACTATAAGTCATTCAAGCCTTGGGTGAAACTGCAAGATAATTATGAACTTCTGGCCACTGAGCTGGACAAGATTCTCAGGTGAGGGATTCTTCTCCTTCTCACCTATCTTTTTTCGCCTCATTGCCATCCTCCTTGAGTCCTCTCTCGGTCCCTGGCCAGATCCACTTCTGCCTGGGCCTTCTGTGCTCCCCCTGTCCTCAGGGCCGACACCTCAGTGCCTCCTCCCTGCTCCTCTGGGCCTTCTGTAAGAGGTCTCTTTCAGTCTCCATCCACCCCCAGGTCTCCCTCCCCCAAGCTGAGAAGTCCCTAACGTAACTCCTTCCGTCTTGCCATCCTCACCAAATCTTGCTATTAAATGGCATATAAATGGGTATGAATATATGTAAGCGTCAAAGTCAGAAGCTTTGAAAAACATCCGTGGGCTGGGCACAGTGGCTCAAGCCTGCTATCCCAGCACTTTGGGAGGCCAAGGTGAGAGGATTGCCTAAGCCTGCAAGTTCAAGATCAGCCCAGGCAACTTGGCGAGACCTCGTTTCTACAATAAATCAAAAATTAGCCAGTTGTGGTAGTGTGCGCCTATAGTTCCAGCTACTCAGAAGGCTGAGATGGAAGGATCACCTGAGCCCAGCGGGTTGATGCTGGGGTGGCCGTGAGCATGCCACTGCCTTCCAGCCTGGGCGACAGAGTGAGACTCCGACTCAAAAAAAAAAGAAAGAAATAAAAGAAAAACAAGCCGGGCTTGGTGGCTTAGCCTGTAATCCCGCGCCTTTGGGAGGCTGAGGTGAGTGGATTGCCTGAGCCCGCGGGTTCGAGACCCGCCTGGGCAACGTGGCAAGACCTCATCTCTACAATAAATCAAAAAAATTAGCCAAGTGTGGTAGCACATGCCTGTAGTTCCAGCTATTTGGAAGGCTGAGACCGAAGGATCGCCGGAGCCCAGCAGGTCGAGGCTGCAATGGCTGGGAGCGGCCACTGCACTCCAGTCTGGGTGACAGAGTGAGGATCCAACTCAAAAAAAAAAAAGAAAAGAAAAGTAAAACAGCCATCAAGGCAGACTAGAGTTATCAGAGAATGAGCATCCTCCTGACATGGCCATTTCATGCTGGAGAAGTCATAGGAAATGGCAAGATCAGGAACTTGAACACCAGGCATTTCTATTCTAATGGGTCAGGAGGCCGAAGTCCAGGGTCAAGGGATCATTTCCACTGAGGCTTCTCTTCCAGGCTTGCTGAGGGTCATTCTATGCTGTGTCCTCAATGGACATTCCTGTGCACATTGCAGACACGAGGTCTCACCAAGTTGCCCAGGCTGGTCTTGAACCCGTGGGCATCTCTCTATGCCTCCAAATTTCCTCTTCATATGAGGACAAAAGTCATATGAGATTAGTTCATCCCTGTGGCCTTGTTTTGACTTAATCATCTCTTTAATGCACCTGGCTCCAAGCACAACACACTTTGAGGTACTGGACTTTAACATATCAAATTTTGGGGTGGGCCAGGCATGGTGGCTCATGCCTATAATCTCGACACTTTTGGAGACCAAGATGAGAGGATTGCCTGAGCCCACGGGCTCAAGACCAGCCTGGGCAACTTGGTGAGACTTCATCTCTACAGTAAATAAAAAAATTAGCCAAGTGTGGTGGTGTGTGCCTGTTGTTCCAGCTACTTGGAAGACTGAGGCAGAAGGATCACCTGAGCCCAACAGGTCGAGGCTGTGGTGGCCATGAGCAGCGTGCCACTGCACTCCAGCCTGGGTGACAAAGTGAGACTCCAACTCAAAAAAAAAGAAAAATTGGGGAGTAGATGCGGTTCAGCCATGACAGTGACCGAAATCCCTCTTGGTGGAGCCTGGGAGGGAGGTGCAGGGGTCCCTGTTCTGTGTCTCGTCTCCCAGGTGATTCTTGACCTTACACTCACAGCCTCCATCCAGGTCTTGCTGCACCCTTGTCCTCACCCCATCACTACCCACTCCAACCCTCCCTCCTGGTTCATCCCTTGTTCCTTCTCAACTCCCTCCCAGAGATGCAGCTCTGGGTTAGGACCCAGCCTGGGGATGCTGATGGGGAAGGAGCCTGGGGAAACACTCAGTACTTCTGTTTGCATTAAATAAGGTTTATCAAAAGGTGGGGTTGGAATGAAGCCCGAGGTGCTCAGAGCTTTTCCAGAGAGCAGAAGAGAAGGTAGAAAGACAACCAGGAATCAGACAGGGCAGAGAAAGGACGTCTCAAGCCATGCTGGGGAGACAGGAAGCAACACCTGGGTCTTGGGTCGCAGGACATAACTACAAGGAGCAGTCTGAGAAGCTCTGGAAAGGGTCACACAGGGAGGTCTGGTTGTGAGTTGCTGCCCTTCCGTGACACTGGGACAGGAGAAAATAGAGTCCAACCTGACCCGGTACAACTTGGGCAGACCGCTGCAGGAGAGAGAACAGCAGGTGGGAAGGAGCTCAGTGTAGACACACTCAGGACATCACTGTGAGACATCTGGGCCCACATGCACCTGCTGCTCCTCCCTCCCTTCATGGCCTTTCTGAGTGTGAAGGAATAGAGAGTGGCAAACACCATGCCCTAGCTTCTGGGTGCAGGTTTCCCTGGCACAATCCTTGAGGGCAGGATCCAGGGGTTCTATTGGTGGCTCCTGCCTGTCTATCCTGATGTTCTCACTGTTCAAAATTTCCTCCAAGGAGTGAAGTGCAGACAGGCCTAGATATAGACAACACACTCCTTGATTGTCTGTCATCAAAGTCAGCCAAACTGATCGAGCCACACTGTCCCTGGGGAAGCTGCCTGGGGAGGGCAGCAAAGGCTCCACCTTCCTTTCCATCCTCCCTACTGCTCAGTCAGGGCCTCTTAGCTTCTGACTGATAAACACCCCAGAGTGCAGAGTGCATGTCTCTTTCATGAGCACCCAGCTCATTCTGGAGTCTTCCGTGGATGTGGCCTCAGGACATGAGGACAGATGGAGTGGAGGGGACAACATTCCCAAGGACTCTCTAAACTCTTGTTTGAGTTCTTACGGTTCCAGGAGCCATGCAGGGTCTAGGGCAGGACAGGGTCTGTGGGCGGGAGTGGGGATGGAGGTGGGCTTGGGGAGAAGTTGAGCTAGTTTCATTGGGACTCCTTTATGTGAAATCTAGACTCAGGCCAGGCTCGGTGGTTCAGACTGTAATCCCAGCACTTTGGGAGGCCGAGGCGAGACACTGGGGTGACTGCGAGTGTGCCACTGCACTCCAGTCTAGGTGACAGAGTGAGACTCCAACTCAAAAAAAAAAAAAGAAATCTAGACTCTGTGGGGGCCTGCTGACTGCTCTAACCCACCCCTTGCGATTCAGAGATCATGTCCAGTCCTGATATGCCAGGCATATCCATGTCCCTTTCTTTACGCCCTTTGATTGTTTGTTTGTTTTGAGTAGGAGTCACACTCTGTCACCCATGCAGTGGCATGCTCATGGCCACCACAGCCTCGACCTACTGGACTTAGGTGATCCTTCAACCTAAGCCTTTCAGTAGCTAGGACTATAGGCTCGTACCACCATGTCCAGCCAATTTTTAAATTTATTGTAGGGACAAGGCCTCACCAAGTTGCCCAGGCTGTTCTCAAACCCCTGGACTCAGGCAGTTCTCTTGTCTCTACCTCCCAAAGTGCTAGGATTACAGGGGTGAGTTACCTTGCCCAGCACCCCTCTGATTTTTTTTTAAATTATCTGTGGACACACATGAACACAAGAGATGGCTTTTGGGATGTAAGCTGGAAGGCCAAGTCCTTTGTTCTTGACCTGGGAGGCCCTTTGGGCACAGCAAGCCCCCTCCCCTCTCTTGTCCCAACCTCCTTCCTTTCCAGGGAGCAATGAAGAACCTGGAAGCAGTTAGTTCTGGCAGAGGGAGGGCACAGGAAGTCCTGGCCAGCCAGCACTCCAGCTCTCCAGTGATTTGCTGTGTAACCTGGATTTGCTGTGTAACTTGTGTATCCTCTGCGCCTGAGCCCTCCTCTGACTATCAGGGACATGATTCTCCCCTCCCAATGCTATTGGCCAACTGTAGTAGAGAATGGGGCACAGGATAGGCCCCTCACACCTGCCCTCTTGGGCCTGGAGGTAAAGCCTTGAGCCCTGACTCCAGCCCTCCCTTTGCATCATGCCCAGAGTCCTGCCAGGAGACTGAATGTCAGCTAAGTGCAACAGAGGTCGGGGGGAGAGAATTTCAGCCAGCCCAGGGCACCAGAGGATGGGACATCTGCCCTGTGCCATCAGTCCTGGTTAGGACCCATCTCCTCTCCTGGCTTCCGTTTCTTCTCTGTGGCTTTGCATTTATTTTGGCACCTACTGCTCTCAGTGCCTGTGCCATCACTGGTCCCTCTGTCAGGCATGAGGAACCTAGGGAAGGAGACAAGGTGGATCGATGGTTATGAAGCTAAGCCACCAAGGCTGTCCCATCTGGAGGCCGAGGCAGTATGAGGTGAGGATTCCACTGAGATGGCCCTGGGAGATCACTCACAAATAGGGGCCTCCTCAATCATGGCCCTGGGAGGTGGACATGAAATCCTGACCCCACAGACACAGAGCAGGGCTGGGACACACCTGCCCTGAAGGCTGCAGGGGAATCCAAAGATCGGGTACCTCTGCCCTCTTTGCCTGCTGGGCCCCTCTGCCCCTTCTTCCCAGATGGCCTCTGCTGGGCCTCAGCTCTGGCCTCCTCTGGCCCCTGTCCCACTCTGGGCTCCCTCCCCTTTGGCTCTTCTGCAGTGCCCACTGCCACCCAGGCCCTTTACCCTACTCTGGAGCCCCACTGCTGCTTCTGATTTGGCTTCTCCCCCCACCCAGCCTTGTTCCTTCCTCCCTGAGACTCTCACCCTTGAAAGTCCTGGGCCAGGCTGGTCCTTCCTGCCTGTCTGGGGTGCACCCCCTTGAAGACTCCCTGTCATTCCTGAGCTCTGGAAATGATAATTGAACCAAGGGAGGATTGAAGCAAGTGGGTTTCTGTTCAAAGCACTCGGAAGGATTTCCAGTGAGATTTACTTGGTTCCAATGCAAAGTCTTGGGAGAGGGTGAGGAGGGGTAATAGTTTTCCTAAGGAAAAGGAAAATCATCTCTTCCAAGGAGATCTGCGAGCAAAAGAGCAGCATGCAGGGGACCCAGTTGTGACAGTCACTTGCTCTGTGACTTGGGCAGGGTGCCCGTCTGTCTGTGCCTCAGGCACTTCATCTGTAAAATGGGCATGGCCCCTCAAGCCTAAGGCAGTATCTGGGGTCAGATAGGCGCAGCTCTCACAACAGGAGCCTGTGTTCTCCCAGTCTTTATTATTATTATTATTATTATTTTGAGTCAGAGTCTCACTCTGTCCCCAGTGTCGACCTGCTGGGCTCAGGCAATCCTTCCACCTCAGCCTTCCAAGTGTCTGGAACTGCAGGAGCGGGCTGCCACAGCCGGCTAATTATTTTATATATTGTAGAGACAAGGTCTCACCAAGTTGCCCAGGCTGGTCTTGAACCCTTGGGCTCAGGCAATTCTCTAGCTTCAGCCTCCCAAAGTGCTGGGATTATAGGCTTGAGCCACTGTGCCCGACCTCTCCCAGTTTGTAAAATGTCAGGAGCATAGGTGAAGTCGGGAGTGAACTGAGCCAAAATGATGAAAGCTATAGCTTGGGCTGGAGAATTTCATTCCCTTTTGCTGATTTATAATGGGTTGGGGGGTGGGGGAGTGGCAGAAATGCTGGGAGAGTAGGGGAGTCCCACAGGAAGGCCCAGAGCTGAGCCCAAGTGAGAGGTCACCAGCCCCCTGCCAGCATCGCCTCCTCCTCCTCCTCTCTGCAGTCCCCCTGCCTGGGGAGGCAGCAGAAATTCTCAGGGCTGTGGAGGGATAGGGGGTGCCCAGTGCCCAGGGGACCCAGAGGGTCCAGATAGCAGTGTCCAGTGGTTGTCAGCTGGAGGACTCCAAATAGCAAGCTCTACATATCCGGTTTCTCTTGTATCCTCAGAATCCCGATGGAGAGAATGCCTCAAAAGAAATTCCGCTTCCACTTTCAAAACCTAATAGCCAAGGATCGAAATACCACCTGGCTGTGCTTTGAAGTGAAAAATGTGAGGAAGAAGCACCCACCTGACCTCTTGGAAAGGGGGATCTTTCAAAACCAGGTATCAGCCAACCTCTGACCACATCGCAGACCAGAACTAGCCAGTCGAGTACGCAGAAGACAGGATGATAAGTGAAATTCAGACCTCAGGCCCAGCTGGGTATTTTCTTCCCACACTTCTTTGGTCCCTGTCCCTGACATCCTGGCTTGTCTGTCCTGGAATCTGACCCCTGAGGGTGTATGTTGCATTACCAAAACTCCCCCCCGCACCTTCCTGACCCAACCAGCACTTGCTCCCAAAATCTAGTAACAAAGCTGAGGGCCCAGCAGCCCTCCAGGAAAAGACATCTAAGGAAGCTGGGGTGTGTGGAGCACCCAGCACTGGGTCTGGCCCTTGTCATGCTGGGCTGGTGGGGCCACCACCCACTGCCCTGATTCCTCCATGGCAAGGATGTGTCATTGTACCGTGGTGAACCCCACACCCTCTCTTGATCCCCCCAAATGGGCCACTGACCTCCCTGCAGTGTTCCACCTTCCCCTACCGCCCCTCCCCATCCAGGTAGGAGACTTCAGAGTGTACATGGAGGGAGCCATCTGTGGGGTGGGCAGGCCTACTCTATGGCAGTCCCAGGGCTCGGTGGCTCAGCCTATAATCTCATGCCTTGGGAGGCTGAGGTGAGTGGATTGCCTGAGCCCGCGGGTTCAAGACCCGCCTGGGCAACTTGGCGAAACCTCATCTCTACAATAAATCAAAAATCAGCCGGGCGTGGTAGCGTGCGCCTGTAGTTCCAGCGACTTGGAAGGCTGAGGCGGAAGGCCAGAGCCCAGCAGGTCGAGGCTGCGGTGGCCGGGAGCAGCCACTGCACTCCGGTCTGGGCGACAGAGTGAGACTCCAACTCAAAAAATTAAAAAAATTAAAAAAATTAAAAAATAAATTTAATAATGTCTCTAGGATCTGTTCTTTTAACACAAATTGCTTCATTTTAATATTTTATTTAGTCCAATGTATAGAACATCTTATTTCAACATATAATTAACAAAACATTCCTCATGAGCAGTTAAGGTTCTTTTTATTCTCACACAGAGCCTTTGAAAAGGGCTGTGTATTTTCTCTTGTCCCTCTCTCCAATCAAAGCCACACCAAGTGCTCAAGGGCCTGAGGTGGCCAGTGGCCCCCTCCAGACAGCTCCACTGGGCAGGGTGCCTGTGGAATGGGTGCCTGGAAGGAAGGATGCCAGGATCCGTGCATAAGTCCATGAGTGGGCTTGGGAAAGCTAAATTGCAAAAGACAGAAGGGGAAGGATGGAGGAAAGAACCCCAAGAAATCCAGCATCCTGGGGCTCCTGGCCTAGCCCCTCCTTGCACTTCAACCTCCCAGCACATCTCCTCCTCCTCACCCAGGTCACCCCCAGGATAAACTGCCATGCAGAGATGTGCTTCCTCTCTTGGTTCCTGGAAAACATGCTGCTCCATGGCAAGCGCTACCAGGTCACCTGGTACATATCCTGGAGTCCCTGTTCTATCTGTGCAGAGGAGGTGGCCGAGTTCCTGTCAGCCCATCCCAAAGTCAGCCTGACCATCTACGCTGCCCGCCTCTACTACTTCTGGGTACCAGGTTACAGGCAGGGGCTTCGAAGGTTGGTTGAGGAAGGGGCCCGCGTAGAAATCATGAACTATGAAGGTGAGAAGTGGGTGCGGGTGTGAAAGGGACAGCAGGAGGGATGGGAAGGTCCTCCAGGACAGCAGATGGTGGGTGTCTCGGGGGAGCCTGGCGGGACTGAGCCAGCACTGACTGGCCCTGGCAACTCACAGACCAGACCTGGGAGGGGAGGGAAAGGGCCTGGGCGGGAGAGGCCTGCTAAGCCCTGACTGCTTTCTCCCCTCTTCTGTCTCAGAATTTGACTACTGTTGGGAAAACTTTGTGAGCATCAACAATGAGCCATTTCAGCCTTGGGAGGGACTCCACGAAAAATACGGATATCTGGTCACCAAGCTGAACAATATTCTTGGGTGAGGAATTCTCCTCCTCACCTCTTCCTTCTCCCCTCCTTGTCATCCTCCTCGGGCCCTCCTTCACTCCCTGGCCAGATCCACTCCTGTCTGGGCCCTTTGCTCTCCCTCCCGTCCTCAGGGCCAACCCCAGGTGCTCCCCCCACCTCAGCGCCTCCTCCCTATTCTCCTTGGTCTTCCAGTAAGAGGACCAGTAAGTCTCCAGAGCAACCTTCATCCACCCCCAGGACTCCCTCCCCCTAGCCTGAGAGCCCCTCACCTGGCTTCTTCCATCTCGCCATCAACAGTGATTCCTGCCATTGAATGGAACTTAAGTGGGTGTGGATATATGCAGGCACCAAACTCAGAAGCTTTGAGAAATGTCCTTTGTAAAAGTTGAGGCTATGAATTCAGTCATTCTTGTCATACCCAATTAAAACAGGCCAGAAGCTGGGGAGAGGAGGGGAAGAGCTTGGGGGTATAAAACACTGCTCCCAAAATCTAATTATCTGCAAACTGTTTGCTGTATCCTGAAACCAGGTGTACCTATAACTTCTGAGATAAATTGCTGCAACCCTTGGACGCATTTTACCCACTACGGTTCCTCACCAAGGGAATCTGTCAGTTCCCCACACCTTACAGTATCCTTACAGTATCCATGACCTTTCTTAAAGAGCATTATATACGATTTATCCTTTTTATAAAATCTTTCACCTTCTCTTTGTTCTGCATATATGCCCCAAATTGCAGTTCTTCCCAAATAAAATGTTAAAATTAGAGATTCCTCTCTGCAGTTTTATATGACAGATATAGTGTCAGAAGTGGGATCCAGTGCTGACTCACCTTGTGGAGAATTGCTGACCGACCCTTGGAACTACAACGTGAGGTTCCCACACTGGTTGTTCCTCCTCCCAACTGTTGGGTTTCTCTTGGACAGAACTCCCAAATTAGTTTTGTATTCTGTTTTATTTGGGATGTGGCTGGGGAGGGGTCTTTCTCCCATTTGGGAGATCTCTTTTTGAAAGGGTGATTGTCTTTCTGTTGATCCCAGCTGTGAGTTTTGGACCTGGAGGTTTGGAAGAAGGAATTCCCCCCTCATTTGGAGAAGGTGCCCTTCCTTTCTGGTTAAGTATGTCTTTTAATTTCCCTTAGTGTTGGCATGGCTCAGTGGCTCAGCCTGTAATCTCAGCATTTTGGGAAGCCAAGGACAGTGAATTGCCTGAGCCTGCAGGTTCGAGACCAGCCCAGGGAATTTAGTAAGACCTCGTCTCTACAATAAATCAAAAATGAGCCGGGCATGGTAGTGCGCGCCTGTAGTTCCAACTACTTGGGAGGCTGAGGCGGAAGGATCACCGGAGCCCAGCAGGTCAAGGCTGCGGTGGCCGGGAGCGGCCACTGCACTCCAGTCTGGGCGATAGAGTGAGACTCCAACTCAAAAAAAATAAATAAATTAACCAGGCATGGTAGTATGTGCCTGGAGTTCCGGATACTCGGAAGGCTGGTGGTGGAAGCATCGCTAAAGCCCAGCAGGTCAATGCTGGGGCGGCTGTGAGCACGCCACTGCACTCCAGCCTGGGTGACGGAGTGAGTTTCCATCTCCAAAAAAAAAAAACAACTTTCCCTCAGTTTTTGTGTTTATTTGGCCTTTGTGTATTCAACATTAAACTAAATCACCCAGATAAATTTAGCTACAAATGAGCTCTCAAAGTTCAAATGCATGCCTAGGTGGTCCCTGGAACTACAGTTTGTAATATGTTCAAAAAACATTACAGGGATCATTTAGTCTGTTGTTCTTAAAACTAAACTAAAAGACCGGCCAGGCTCAGTGGCTCAGCCTGTAATCTCAGCACTTTGGGAGGCTGAGGCAAGAGGATTGCCTGTCCCCGCGGGTTCGAGATCAGCCCGGGCAACTTGGCAAGACTTTGTCTCTACAATAAAATAAAAAAAAATAGCTGATCGCGGTAGCGCACACCTATTGTTCTGGCGACTTGGATCGCCTGAGCCCAGCAGGTCAATGCTAGGGTGGCCATGAGTGCACCACTGTACTCCAGCCTGGGCAACAGAGTGGGACTCCAACTAAAAATAAACAAACAAACAAATATAAATAAATAAACTAAAAGACCATGGTTACTGGTGGACACAGTGACTCATACCTGCAATCGCAGCACTTTAGAAGGCTGTCTCAAGAATCAGTTGAGGCTGGGAGTTCAAGAACAGCCTGAACAACATAGTGAGATGCCTCCCCCATCTCTACAAAGAATAAAAACAATTAACTGGGCATGGTGGCATGTCTGTGTTCCCAGCTAATCATAGACTGATGCAGGAGGATTGCTTAAACCCAGGAGATCAAGGCTGCAGTGAGCCATAATCGTGCTACTGCACTCCAGCCTGTGTGACAGAGTAAGACCCCATCTCAGAAGAAAATTTTAAAAGATTGTGGTTTAAAATCATATACCCCAAACACGATATGCATAGCCTGCTGATATCTAGGGCTAAACCACCACAACAAAAATCACAAAACCATTCAGGACCCAAAAATTGTCTCCCTATAAAATACTGTCTCAAAGTTAGCTGAAACTCTTTCCTTCCAGAATGTTCCCCCTTCCCTTCCTACAATTTATCCTCTTTATCTTTCTCTAAGGATCAGTTCTGGCATACTGACTTTTTATTTTTATTTTTTATTTTTTGAGTTGGAGCCTCACTCTGTCGCCCAGACTGGAGTGCAGTGGCCGCTCCCAACCACGGCAGCCTCGACCTGCTGGGCTCCCGCGATCCTTCTGCCTCAGCCTTCCAAGTAGCTGGAACTACAGGTGCGCGCTACCACGCCCGGCTCATTTTTTAAATTTATTGTAGAGATGAGGTCTCACCAACTTGCCCAGGCGGGTCTCGAGCCCGCGAGCTCAGGCAGTCCACTCACCTCAGCCTCCCAAAGCTTGGGATCACAGACTGAGCCCCCGAGCCCGGCTCATACTGACTTTTTAAGTAAAAACGCTTAAAACCGGCAGACACAAAAAGAAAATCATGATTAACATCACGTTGTTTCTTAAGAGCAAAAGCTGAAATTCCTACGTAAAGATACCCTCCCTATCCAAAAAGGAAGGCAACATTCTTATCTTCAAGGACAAAGAATTCAGCCCAAAAGAATACTGTCCAGCCCTTATTAAAGAAACACTTATCTTCTGGGCCTCCTCACAGGATTCAGTCATATTTCACGGTTAACTATTCCTTGTTTAATCCAGTATATTTGTTACTGATCCAAACTGCTTTACCCAAAATTTGTCTCATAACCTTTATAAGATTACCTGTTTCAGAAATCTAAAAGTTTAACCCGATCCCATTTTGGCAGAAAAATCATTTTGATCCAACTGTTTGTTATAAACCAGTGAGTTTATAAGTTTTACTGTCTCATGACTAAAATTCTCAAAAAACCCCCACAAAACTGTAAGATCTTTACTTATATGTATGTGTTTAGATGTGTTTATATGTAAGTACATGGACTGTTGTATGTTGTGTCTACATAACCTTTCAGATAGTTTTATATTTGCCCCTACTACATGTTCTAAGGTCATAAAGTTGTAAATCAAGCCTAAAAAAAACTATCTTTGTTCACAAAAATGCTTTAATAAGCAGGATTAATCTAATAATGTTGATTTAATAAAAGCCATGGTATCTTCTGCATTATTGGCAAGATACGCATGTTTTTAACTTGGAGGTTCTTACTTAAGTACACACTTGATATCACCAGGCTATAAAATTGGTTAATTAAAAACAAGAGACTAAAAATAATGAGTAGCTCTACCTAATATTTACTTTTCACAAGGAATCTAAGCATAATTGTTAAAAGGCAGCTAGGTATAATTGCTAAAATAATTATAGTATTTACAAAAAATAAACATTTACAAATGACCTTTCATGGAATTTAAAATCCCAAAGTTATGTTATATTAAATAAAATAATAGATACTCATTAAAAATCTGGATCATAACAAATAAATTTTTTAAAATTCTGAGACAAATTGTTAAATAAGTATAAATTCTTTCTTCATTTTTTAATCTTATAAAAAGATGACATATATTTAGATCTGTTATTCAAAATATAAATTTTTAAAATGTTTATAAAAAAATTCTACGTGATACCTTTTTGTCCTAAGATAAAACAATTGGTGGTTCCAAAATGTTTTTTAAAATTTGTAAAACTAATACTGAGGGGTTGAGAAATTTATTATAGGTCAAAAAATTTGATAAAAGATAGGCCTTAATGAAGAAAGTGTCATGTGTGAGAAGGCTGGCTTTGTTTTTGTTTTTATTTGTAATGTTAATGTGTTTTTCTAAAGATAAAATAGTTCACAGAGGCATACAGATACAGGATCAGAGTCTGGCCTCTTATATTTAAGATGACAAGATTTCCTTAAAGTAGTGATCTGTTCTTTATCAAGTTGCAAGTGGTTTAGATTTTTAATTGCAAAATCTATTTCTTTTTTTTTTTTTTTTGAGTTGGAGTCTCACTCTG